GTGCTTGTGATGAAAGTGAATTCTATAATACCTTCCTTGCGCCGATATGTTGACCATTTGATCTTCTGTGAATCCCATCTATATGGTGGCGTAGACTGACTTTCAGTTTGATTCTCCTTCTTAATAGAAACATGCCAAGGCGGTTTTCGTGGTGGTCGTCTCTTCCATAAACACTGAAGCCCTCGAACGAAAATGTTGTTAGAAGGAAAATCATTGTGCCATGTAATGCACAGACAATCATCGGTAAAAGTAGACTCCAAAAACAGTTGTCTATTTACCGGGAAGATACTCCTCCGTAGGAAGAGGTAACACAATTCAAACACGCCATCACATGTCGTTATAAACTTCCCCCAATTGAAACCAAGTATAAGGATCACGGATATAAATACCGACATCATTGGGTAGAGGCAACGACGAGTAAAACGTGTCGAACAATAACATCGTTTGGATATTTCACCAAACAAGGCAAGAGACACCGAAACTATCATCATAGATATTGTCGTTGAACTCATAGTATAGAGATAATAAATCAAAGAAACAATAAGAGAAAGGATGTAATCAAGCAACGAGAAACGGCGGTGACGACGTAATCTCGTTATCGCACTTGCAGTCGCCTCTTTTGAGAGAGACGGTTTATTAGTCNTTTGGATATTTCACCAAACAAGGCAAGAGACACCGAAACTATCATCATAGATATTGTCGTTGAACTCATAGTATAGAGATAATAAATCAAAGAAACAATAAGAGAAAGGATGTAATCAAGCAACGAGAAACGGCGGTGACGACGTAATCTCGTTATCGCACTTGCAGTCGCCTCTTTTGAGAGAGACGGTTTATTAGTCAGCTGTTATTTTTCATTATTTTCCTGATGTTTTTTTTCCTTCTAGATATTTTTGCTCAGAAATTCTTTTCATTCAAAAACCTTGTTTTTTAATATTTTGAGTTCCAGTACTTCTTTAATTGTATTTTGTTAGTAAATTCACCATTTTCTTCATTTATTTTTTAGTTATGTTATTTTATTAGTTAATTTTTTAAATGCTCTTCTTATTGAAAAAAACATAGAGCATATTTATATAATATTATAAAATAAAAAATTAATGAATTTATGTTTCCACTTAAAATATTTTCTAGATCCGCCATTGTTCGTCATTCATTTAACATTTTGATGTTTTTAATTTTGCATTTGAACAAACAACCATTCAAATCAATATCCATGGATGCATTAACGTTTAAGAAAAAATAAACAATATTTTTAGACTGCAACTTAAATTAACCATAAAGTATACACATATAAGAAAAACTATGTAATAGGCAGCTAATAATCGGTTCCGCTAATGTTGATGAAAGAGAAAGGAAACCCCATGAGTAGATACACATAATAAATACAAATAAGTTAACATTTATTTCTTTTGTTAATTACAAATAATAAGGACTTTCTTGCCAATCGAAATTTACCATCATGTTAAAATTGAAATACGATAATGAAAATAGTAATGTGAGTGTGTGCGTGGTATATTCTGGAAAAGAATATTATTCATACATGAAAAACCATTGGGATTTTGGGTTTAATCTTATTGGGCCTACTCGTATCGAGTCACTACATTTGGATTTTCTTCTCTCTTTTTTTCAACTCATTATATGCTCAAAATTGCATTTTATTTGTTTTCTTATTATCCCTCAGTAACTTTATACGATGCCATTTGCACAAAAAAAATACGATGCCCAAAAGCTCTCCCAACGTTATTTCCCACTCCAAATGGTCGACTGGCATGCTTCCTTAAGCAAATAAGAGAAGAGAATGCATCCTTAGATTAGTTATGCTCAGGCACCTTTGATACAAAGTATCTTCAAACAGAATACAATGCCAACTTTTGCTTTTGGGTACTTGAAGATATCTTGGAACCATGAATTGATGTAGTAGTTACAAGGTATGGATTATCTAATATGAATCTTAGAGGTCACAAGTGAAGTTTATTTGGAAGAATAATTTTCTTTTAAAAATATTTAATTACATCATCTAATCGTCGTTCTAGCTAGAAATATATACATACCCACAAATATGAAATCTCCTAAACATTTAAAATGACTATTTTATTGTTTTCTTTAGATTGAGCGTTTGGATACCTATTCAATTTTGGATCGGGTATTTCGGGTTTTATAATATTTTGGTATATTGGTATAGAATTCGTTCATGTATGTTTACATGTCAGGTCAGATTTGGATATTTGTAGTTTGGGTTTGAGTAATTTGGGTCGGATTTAGTTATTTTAAGTTACTAAAAACAAGATTGGGATGAACATATCTCATGAATTAAACAAAAACAAACTAGGTTGTTAACCAAAGAATGGAGGATCAAGTAATGAAACATGAAGTGTGATACTTTACCAAAGCAACCTTAGAAAAAGAGTGCATCCTCTGATATAATCATAAGGTGTGGAATTAATGATGAAACCATCAAATCCATGGCGGAAATGGGTTAGGTTTAGTATATAAACTATGGATAGGAAAAGAATGATTCTAAAATATTAAAGATTTAGAGTTATTATATATATTTTTGGATATTTTGGGTATCTATTCGAATATCGGATTTTATCCAATTGGGTTAAGGTATCCAATCTTCACTACAACTCAATATCCGTTTGGATATTTTTATAGATCGGATCGCCTTCAAGTTTGGATGTTACAGATCATTTCTGATTCGGTTTTGATTATTGGATAAAATGCCCATATCTAGTTATCTTGTAATTAGAAAAAAACATAGAGGTCTTCTAAAACTAAGCCCATGCACAGTCCTTGCCTAAAAAAAGCCTAGGCGTAAAGTTACGTGAAGTTGTGTGGTTTTCTTTTTCCCATTGAAACACTCATAGGTTATTTCATTAGTTTTTTTTTTGAAAAAATTATTTCATTAGTTAATATTTGAAAAAAAAAACTTCACAGCTTGGATCTCATCAGCAACTCACAAACAGATCATTAGGGTATTTCCATCCTCACTTCATAATTTACTCTAAAATAGAATAAGTAATTGAATGATGAATTAAAAAACAGTTACTCAATAAATAGAGTAATACTTTTATTTTTTACTTATTATTCCATTTCGCACTCTATTTATGAATAAAATGAAATAGATTAGTATTAGCAAGATTACAAATCTCGACCAAATTAATTATTTTATAAGATTTAGTTATTTAGATAAGGATTCATAAGACTTGTTATGTTTGGTACATCTCCGTCCGTGGTTAGGTGCCAGCGGGCTTGGAAAGGTGATAACGACCTTGAGTTCAAAATTAGCCAACCAGATAAGCTGCACACGAGTAGAAATATAAGATAGTTTACATGGTTTGTCTCTTGGTCTACGATATTAGTTTTCGGCACAGACGACTCGGGGTACCCAAAACAAACATTTGGTCCATCGCTAATGGATACACAAATCCAATCGAACCCCATTGCACGCACTCGACGTTATTTGTGGTGCTTACCATACATTTTTTAAAAATAGCTAGTGAACAAACACCATCTTTTTGTTGACATTTAGGAAACGATTAGGTATATCCTTTACAAATGTGGCATTGCTTTTTGATGCAGATGAAATGTCAATACCAACTGTATATGTCATTTGGTAATATATATATCATTTTTAGTGAACGTTTGTAAATAACTTTAGAACGTACTAAACACACAAAAATAAAACTTATACTGAACTATATTACAGACAATTTAATTTTTTTTTATTTTTTTTTTGAAACACTATTACAGACAATATAATAAGAAAGTTGTTATATGATACTTGAAGCGCATTGAATGTGACACGCACAAATATGCAACTTTTTTTTGAGATCGATCAATATATAAACTTTTTTGAACACCCTACGTATATTATATATTCAGACGTACATTATAAGATAACACTAATAACATAACGTCAGTTTTAAATTTATGATATATCTTTTCTTCCATAATATCATGAACTTAGTCGATAAAAAAAGAAGCATAATATCAAGAACTTTACAACCAGGACAAAACAAATGAGCTAGTCTTCAATTTAACAATAAAAAAGTAAAAATAATAATTTAGTGGTGAAAATACATAAAATAGCTAATATATTGTTTGATAAATTTAACATTTTAATAAAATAAAATATATTCAAACAAGTGGCTTACATAATCTTAACTAAGTCTGTATCTTGATGACAAAAAAAAATATATTCAAACAAACAAATCAACTCAATGTTAAAAAATGCAATGTACCTTATTTCAATCAATGTATTCATTTTTTTTTGGATAATCACTATATACATATAAATTAGTTACTTATGTTCAATGAATATATTTAGAACCTAAACTACAAATACATGTGAGATAATAAATAAAGTCCCACATTGGAGAATTAGACAAGGAGTGACTAATATATAAAGAGAAATCCAACTATAATAGTACGAAGTCTTTTGGAAAGGAAACCAAAAATAAATCCATGCGAGATTGCCCCCTACGCCCAAAGTGGACAATATCGTACTAATATGAGAATATAGAGTTGGACATGGACTTTCACAATCTCAACAATTGGTATCAGAGTGGTTTGACGAAGATATGCAAGAAGACCAAAATATCCTTTAAGATATGAATGAGATCCTTCAAGTAGGAAGAGAAGGTCTTTACTGGTACAAAGTGAAGCCAGATGATTCGCTAAAAGAAAAAAACACAAGAGATGAATGTGGTCCTTAATTTAAGGGGGAGAATGTGAGATATTAAACAAAGTCCTACATTGGAGAATCATACAAAGAGTGTCTAATATATAAAGAGAAGTCCAATTCGAATAGTACGAAACCTTTTAGAAAGGAAACCAAAAATAAATCCATGCGGGCTTGCCTCCTAAATCCAAAGTAGACAATTTCATACTAATATGAGAATATAGAGTTAGACACGGGTTTTCATAGACCCAACAATACAGAAACTGAAGTTTTTTTTTTTGAAACACGAACAGAAACTGAAGCTATTAATATATATTAACGAACCCCATTTCTCAGATCAAGAAACCTTACACAAATATAATGGTTAATACACTTCACAATATATAAAGTAACCTTTGTATTGATTTAAAAGCAAAGCATCAAAATCTACAGAATTGAAGACATTTTAGTGGTGCAAAGGGTTTGGACCGCTAGGTACCAGCCGTTCCTCATCGTTATACCAAGAACCGGTTTCTTCTCCAGCCAGGCCTTGACTTCGACGTTGACGTTGAGTTCGATCTTTGATCTTGATAAACGGTGTAAAGTCAAAATTACTTGCTAGAATTCTCTGATGACTGAGATCAATGCCTGATTTACGCTTGTACGAGGTTGTAAATGCAAAAGAAACAAGAAGAAAGACGAACAGCACAGAGAGTAGAGAGATGTGGAAGAGGAAACTACACGGGTTAGGGTGTTTCTTCATAGCCTTGTAGAGGAACTTTTGATGAAGGATGAGAAGCAAGAGAGCTCATGGAGAAAGAGAGAGAAAGAGAGAGGTAGATAAGATAAATTGTTAGAGAAAAAGGATATGAGATTTGTGGTTTTCAAAAAGTGTTTTATTTTTGTTACTCTCCAAGAAATTACAGCTTGATACGAGTTTTATATAAGTTAGGAGAATAAAGTACATGATAACTTAGTTAATTTTAAGGTTATGATATTGATTAATAGTTGGCATAAACATGTGGAATATGTGTATGTGATTTGTGAAAAAGTTGTATGAAAATGAGTGAAATATAAGAGTAAAAAGGTTACTTTACGTTCAAGGAAGAATGGGAGGTTGAGTGGTGCCATTAAAAACGCTAACTAGTCAAAGTTTTGAATTTATTACATTCTATTGTACTTTGGTATGGTATGACCTAGTTTTTTGGAGGCTGGGCACTTTTTTTTTTTACTTTACATCTTCAATTCATATATTTTCATATTCGTTACAATTTCGATATACGGGTTCGAATTAAGCCAAGAAAAGTAGTTTATACTTTATAGTGAGATTCGAATTAATTGAGCTGTATAAATAAGTTCTGAATATTGCACGTTCGTCCATAATGCACGGTGGTAGATGACTTGGTGTTCATTTTTGTGATAACTCGTTTTTATCAACTATCTATAGCTTAATGCTTTATTAACAAAAAAAGAAGCTTAATAGCATATTTCAAGTGCTTATATATAATAGCTAGCACGTATATTATATGGTACTTGAGTTCTATAGGAGAATACAACAATGAGAAGTATACTTAATTTGATTGAAACTACAAAATTTCTCTCTCACTTGAATTCTTTCACTTTTCAAAGATATTATGTGTTAAACCTATGAAAAGCTATGGTAAATAAAATATTGAATGACTATATACACTTTAAATAATTGATTAATCCGATGTTAAAAATCTATATTTGATAAAAAAATTTCAAAATTTCTAGTTATTTGATTTCGAGTTTTTATTTATATACATATAATTGTTCAATTTGAGTTACAACATTTTCTCTAAAGATGTGTGAAATAATATTCCTCATATATCCAGTAAATCCTTTCTCAAAGAACACAGTTTTTAAGTTTACATGTGATTTAAGAGATATTCATTTTTAACCATCAAACAATAATCCTATCACTTAAACTTAAAGTGCTTTGGATAATTAAATCAAAATAAAACAACCAACAAAATATGAATCCCTATGAAAAATTCTATTCATCTTAGCTAATAAATCTGTTAAGAAAGTTTTGGTCAGTGATAGTATAGAACTCTTGGAATACTTATTTCTGATTTGTTATCTCTTTTAACTCTGTCAAAAAGCTTGGTCATATTTTTGGGTCTTCAATCATTGAAATCATACCCTTATAATTAGTACCAAAGTTCTCACATGTTTAGTGATGCGTTGTACATTCTTTCACCACAAAAGTGCTTCCAGTTCAACATATAATGGTGACTATCTTTTCCTCTGGTTTCTGATTCCTAAAATCCGAATTCTCGCAAATGTCGTTCCATACCAAACCACAACCATTGAATTGTGAATCCTGACTCCAAGAGCCCTCGACCAGATAAATATCATGTAAGCATATGTTAATATGCCTTGAATTTGAATGTTGCATTTAGGTGTTGGATGCTATCACGTACATCATATTCACTCGGTTGCATCAAAGCGTTGCATCAAATTATTATGGATGTTACATCTGATTATGGGCTTAGGCCCATGAGTCCTTTTAGTCTAGGGATATAGATGCGAGATGCTACTATATATATCTTGTATTTGAAGTAACCCTAAACTTGCACTCTATAAGCTCAATATTTCCTCCAGTAATAAAATCTCTCTTTATCCGTGGACGTAGTCCTAGGGTGAACCACAATAAATACAGGTATCGTAATTACATTGTTTTATTCATCTGTTTCCGCATATGTTCCTTTTCACGTCCGTCAGAAAAAAACTGGTATCAGAGCACGAAATTGGTAATCTGGTGAGAAGATGTTTGGGATAATAGCGTAGATTAACAAGTTTGATGGGAGAAATAGCTTCTCAGATTACCAATGACGAAGAATTACATATTTGTGAGGCTTCTGGACAATAGAGGATTCAAATATTCGGGTGGCGATGGAGTTCTGAATGTTTACAAGGGTTCTGATGTGATTTTGAAGGGTTTCATGAGCAGTACTCTGTATTTTTTGAAGGGTACTACGGTTACCAGTTTAGAAAATGTTGCATCGCCAGATATCCCAGAAGAAGATATGACTAAGCTATGGAATATGAGGCATGGACATATGGGTGAACGTGGGATGCGACATCTGTCGAAGTAAGATTTGCTTCGTTCTGATATTGGTTTGGAATTCTGCTCGGAAGAGTTCAAACAGTTGTGTAAGAATGCAAAAATTGCCAAGCATCTTACAGACAAGAGAACACTACAGCGGGTTGGTGTTGCAAAACAGATGAACCATGTAATGCTAGAGAGAGCGATGTGCATGCTCTCGAGTGCTGGCTTGGAGAAGCGGTTTTGGGCTAAAGTACTTAACACGGCTTGCTACTTGGTAAATATTGGTTCACACAAAGGCATCGAGTGCAGGATACCTTCTGAGGTGTGGTTATGTAGATCTGCTGAATATTTACTTTTAGGAGTGTTTATGGGCTACGCTGATGGGGTGAAGGAATTCAGATTTTGTTCTCCATCAGAAAACCAAATGGTTCTAAACATGAATGTTGTCTTAGATGAAATTTCTATGGTTAGAGGTTCAGGGTCAAGCTCTGAAGCAGAAAAGGGTAGCACTAATAAACATGTGGAACTGCAAGGTGATCATGAAGTGATTGATGTGCAAGAACACATAAAAAATCAAGAAGAGCGTGGAGAAGATGTTCAGTTGAAGTCTATGGAGAGTCAACCGTCTGATGCTACAAAGCGTAACATCGCAAAGAATCAATCAAGAAGGGTTGATGTAAGGCCCCCAGAGAGATATCACTTCGATGATATGGTGGGTTATGCACTTCTGGTTGCAGAGGAAATGGATGCATCATCCACTTACATGGAAGCTATTTCTATTCCCGAGTGTGAGAAATGGTATGTTGCAACGAGATACGTGAAGTCTCATCAGAAAAATCATACATGGGATCTGGTCACATTATATTACCATCGGGGAGAAGAGATGTTACATGCAAGTGGATCTTCAAGATTAAGGAAGGAGCATCACTGGGAAAATGAGTTAAGTAGAAAGCTCAGATTGTTGCAAGAGGGTTCAGCCAGGGAGAAGGAGTATACTATAATGAGATATTCTCATCTGTGGTCAGAGATACTTCCATCAGAGTGCTGCTAGCCTGGGATCACGTCAGGACATGGAGCTTGAGTAATTTGATGTGAAGTAATGTGTCTTCATAAAGATCTAGAGGGGGAGATATACATGAATAAACTGAATGGTTTTTGAGTTCCTGAAAAAAAAAGACTATGTATGTAAGCTTCCGAAGTCACTTTATGGACTTGAAATGTCTCCCAGGCAATGGTACAAGAGATTCGACAGCTATATAATCAAGTTGGACTACATCAGAAGTCCTTATGATTAGTGTATCTATTTGCGTAAGTTAATGGATGCGACGTTCATATATTTGGTACACTATGTGAATGGCATGTTGATAGCTGCAGAGAAGATGTGAGACATCGAGAAGCTGAAGAAGCTTCTGAGTTCTGAATTTGAGATAAAGGATTTGGGTACAGCAAAGAAGATTCTAAGGATGGAGATCTTCAGAGATAGAGAGAAGGAGTTGTTCTTGTCATAGATGGCCTACATTAATAAGGTATTGACAAGGTTTGTGATTTCTTCAGGTATACCTATCAGTACTCTATGTGCTGCGAATGTTCATCTCACCATGTATATTTTTCGGCCCTTTAGGACGTCATGTCTGTTGGGACATCTGGTCCGTTGGGACATTTAGCCCATTAGGGCACCCGGCCCGTTTGGGCATCCGGCCCTTTGGGGCGTCATGTTCGTTGGGACATCTGGCCCGTTGGGACATTTAGGCCGTTGGGGAATCCGGCTCATTGGGCATCTGGCCCATGGGGAATCCGACCCTAAGGGGTTTCTGGTCCGTTGGGACATCTGGCTCGTTGGAACATCTGGTCCTCAAGGACATCTGCCCATTGGGGCATCTGGTCTGAAAAGACATCTGGCACGTTGGAGCATCTGGTCCGAAAAGAAATCTGGTAAAAAAGGACATCTTAGACAAAGAGAGTGATGGTACATCTGGCGTTGAAGAACGCATCTGGTACATTTGGCGCAGAGAAGCGCATCTAGTACATCTGGCACTTGAAGATGCATCTGATACATCTATTATTGGGAGGATTCAAGTCAAGGTGGAGATTTTTTGATATGCCTCGACTCTGAATGTTGCATCTAGGCGTTGGATGCTACATCACATACATCATACTGAATCGGTTGCATCAAGAGTGTTGAATCAAGTTATTATATATGGATGTCACATTTGATCGTGGGCTTAGGCGCTTGAGTCTATTTAGTTTAGGATTTTAGATGCGAGATGCTACTATATATATTTTGTATTCGAAGTAACCCTAAATTTGTACTTTGTAAGCTCATTATCGCATCCAATAATAAAATTTCTCTTTGCCCTTGGACGTAACCCTAGGGTAAACCACATTAAATATCTATGTCGTAGTTACATCGCTTTATTCATCTGTTTCCGCATCTGTTCCTTTTCACGTCCGTCACAATAAAATATTGGTTGTGTGTTGAAAAGTGAATCTGGTACAAATATATCTCTATAATTTGTATCATGCGAAGCTCGGTACTCTCTTTCTGCATGTCTGGCAGTCTCCAAAAGATCCTACTGATTTTTCTAAATAGTTTGTCCTTCCAAACTTTCTAGATGGTGTAGTCACACTAACGAATAAATAACAATTTTAATTGGTAACATAGGAACATAAAGAATAAGTAGAAAAAAACGTAAAAGAATAAAATTATAGAAATAAAGAAAATAAAATATTTTTAATCAATTTTGGGAAGGAATAAATTTGTTATAGAATACAGAGAATGAAAAAGTATAAAAAGGAAAAAATATTCTTTGTAAATAGTAAAAAAAAATTAGGAAGAATAAATAATGCATTATGTCCTTCCATTCATTAACATGATTTATAGATTCGTATGAGGACAAGTTAAATTCTTTGTAACTGCCAAATGACCAGTAATGATCTGTCAAATAAAATGATGTATCTTGTCGAGAGCTTATATTTTTCATGCAAAGACTTGAAATTAGCTTATGCTAGACTTTAAAACCATGATTTTAGATTCTTGGTTTAGGAGGTTTTTGGCCACCGAATATCCAAACTTTAATGTATATTGTCCATTTTTTTGGTATAGCTCCAAATAAAACATTTTGTTGATGCAACTGACTCACTTCCATTATTTGAATCAAGGAAATGTCTGCCGTACTACCAAATCCGTCAGCATCTCATCGTATATCTTTTTATATCTCCATGTATAAAATCACTCAATGCAATATGATGGACTGGTCTAGCTGGTATTGTTGGAATCTATACTTCCCAGACTTCATACTTTTTGCCTAATTTCCAAAGAAAGTAATGGCCTTTTCCATGAATTCATTTATGTTTGGTTTCCTCATAAAGTCTATGTAGTAACCTTTTCTAAATATTTGATATTCTTTTCAATGTTTACATAGTATGCACTCAAACATTATAAGTAAGATTTGATGGCATAAATATAGTACACATGCATGAGTATGAAATTCCGCAAATGTTAGCATTGAAACGGACATTTTCTTAAAATTTACTCTAACACATCTCATATTCCCAATCTTTAGGCCTCTTTTTATATTAAATTACGTTTACTTAATTAATTTCATAATTGATATTGAAATTTGAAACTACAAGAAACAAAGCGCCTACAGTTCTTATGCCGTACATTACGTTAAACGTGATTCATTCCCCAGCTGTAAACCAATGATACATTCACTATGTAATTTATCTTCGGCACACTATTGATTACAGGTGGATACATATAGATTACTAAATTAACGTGTCATGTCCAATTCCAATAAAAACCCAAAACAGTTATTTCATAATGAATAAAACTAAAATTTACATACAAAAAATTCATAAAATAATACTCGATAAATTAATAAACATATAAATTAACGAATTTCGTTAAATTAGTTCAATGTAAAATTTGACATAATTTTATAAGATAGTATTTTTAAAAAATCTTATGTAAATATATGGCTCAAATAGAAACATAATATAATAATTAATATATAAATAGTTTATATAAATAGAAACCATATATATTTTATAGTTGTTTTCATTCACAATGAAGTCTATTTAATTTTTAAAATATATTGATGTTATTATGTCATTTACACTTGAAAAGAATTTACATTAATGATATTTTCTATATATCAAATGCTTGAATATGAACAACATAAAATCTGTATCTATAAATTTAATACAATACATATACCATAAAATAAAATATTTTCGTATTTTTACATAAAATTATTTATATTATATAAATCTAAAAAGGGATTTTTTTAATAAATTAACAATTCTATAAATTAATAAAATATCAAAATCTTAGTGTTATTAATTTATAGAGTTTCTATGCTATATTATAAAATGTATTTTGAAAAATCAATATCTATACTGTACTAAAAGGCCGATATGCTGCACTCTTAAATGTGCCACGTCGGATTAAATAATCGGCCAGTAGTGTTCCAGCAAACTTCCACGTCACTGACATTCGGATTTGTTTGGGCTTTTTAATGTGTTACGTTATGGGCTTTCGTTCTTTGCAGTTTGGGCCTTTTTTTCTTTACCGCCCGCGAGACTGTCAAGCTAAACCGGCCTGCGAGACTGTCAAGCTAAACCTAGATCTACGTTTATTCTACAGTCGGTATGCGGTTTATCCTTCCTTTACGACTTCTACCTCTTTCATTTCTCTTTGTTCGGTCCATTTCAGCTAATAACATCTCCACTTCTCCACTATATGCCTTAATCAAGTCTCTACCTGATTTCATTCAATGTCTCTTTTCAGCTTCCACACCCTATGTTTATTTATAGATTTGAGAAAATTCTCTCAGATTTTATCTCATATCTCTTCCTTCCGATGGAATCCAGCAGCATCTCTCCCGTCTCCGGCGACCGCAAGAGTAGCAAGAAGACCATCACCTCTTCGGCGGCTTCGAAACCAAACAGGAAGTCCTCTGCTACCTCTGCGAATGCGATGAAGCCTAACGACAAGACTTCTGTTTCGCATGCAATTCCAACGAAGCCAGACGCTGTTGCCTCTCTCCCCTCCGCGCAAGGTGACCAGGTGATGTTCTTCTGAGATGTTTCACCCGGACCACATGAAGCTGTTTTGTGTTTCCGTCTGATACATTTCTGGGAGGCTCGGAATCCACACACGAAAACCCTCATTGGCCAGGAGATGCTCCTTATCAACGAAGAGGTTTGTCCACGAATCTTTGCTCCTTATTTTCCTGCTTTGATTTTGGTTCATTTATATGAGATTTTCTAATAATATGTAATTTTATATGATTTATAGAGAACTGTTTTTCAGGGTTTTGTTCCGGTGGGGCATGTTGGAACATATAAGTTGATATCCGGTTCCGTCTACAGTCTGAGGAAGTTTTTCGTATCCAGAAACAAAGCTAATTATCGTGTTACTGGTCATATTGCGACCGTTTCATTCTCTTGGAATTCTGAGCTGTCCGTTATTGAGAATCCTCCGGTTCGAATTGATGAGGACAGGTTCAGGTTCCATAGCTACACTGAGTTTCAGACCAACTGTGACAGCAGAGGTGGCCTTTATGGTAAGTTCTGTTTGAATAAGTTTGGATTGTGATATATCATTTGATAAGTTTGATGAGTTTGATATATAAGTTTGATGTTTTTGTCGTATGGTACGTAAGTCTTATGGATACGTTTGGTATGTGATATATCTTTAAATAAGCTTGATGTTTTTTATATATAATTTTGATGTTTTTGTTAGATTATGGTAAGTTCTGTTTGAATAAGTTTGGTATGTGATATATCATTAGATAAGTTTGATGATTTTGATATATAAGTTTAATGTTTTTGTCGTATGGTACGTAAGTCTTATGGATACGTTTGGTATGTGATATATCTTTAAATAAGTTTGATGTTTTTGATATATAATTTTGATATTTTTGTTAGATAAGTTGTTAGATAAGATTGATGTTTTGGTTATATAAATATATATAGTATATGTACTTTGTAAACAACTGATGCACAGTGTATTGACAGGTTTGATGTGTGATTAGAGTATATATATAGGATTAATGACTGGCGGCTTAAATTATTGTCTTATGTTTGATATGTGATTAGAGTACAAATAAGTTTTATGACTGCGGTTTTAAATTATTATGTCTCAGATTATGTTGGCCACATGAAGCTGGTGAATGATCAGGCTATCACTGATCATACTGTTCTTTACAAAACTGCCATAGCAAAGAATCAGCATCTATGTGTTCATGTTCAGACACATGAGTAAGTTTGTCCAACTGTTACACCCTTTGCTTGTGTGTTATTTTTAATGCATTATTCTAAATATTATGCAGCAAACCAGTGATCAAGCTCTAACTATGGGACAATGCCGCAGCCGAATTCTGCCAGAAATTCAAGACGTATGGAAAAACTCCAAGCGTGCTTTTGGTCACGACTGTAAACCCTAAACATCTTGGAGGTTAATTTTTAATTTTAGAATATGATCGTTATATGATTAACACATACGTGGGGTTATTTAAATAAATATATGTGCTATATTTAGATTAATCTGTGATAATATTGTCGAGACATTGATATTCTGCTCTTATTTGTGTTAATTGATATTCTTTTGTATAAACCATTTTATTTATGTTAGGTGGGACAAGTCTATTTTAAATATTTTACTTTCTGTATACTTGGTTTCACTAATTCATTTATCTGTTATGAACAAGGACCCTTGCTCTCACATCTATGGCATCATCCAAAGTGTTCATGGATACCGATGTCCAGCCTACTAAGGACTATCTTGGAGTGTGGTTATTAGTGTCCTCAGATATATTTTATATGCACTTAGCTGACTTCAGATATATTTGGATGATAAGTTCTGTTTGAATAAGTTTGGTATGTGATATATCATTAGATAAGTTTGATGATTTTGATATATAAGTTTGATGTTTTTTTCGTATGGTACGTAAGTCTTATGGATACGTTTGGTATGTGATATATCTTTAAATAAGCTTGATGTTTTTGCTATATAATTTTAATGTTTTTGTTAGATAAGTTGTTAGATAAGATTGATGTTTTGGTTAAATAAATATATATAGTATCTGTACTTTGTAAACAACCGATGCACAGCGTATTGACAGGTTTGATGTGTGATTAGAGTATATATATATATAGGATTCATGACTGACGGCTTGAATTATTGTGTCTCATGTTTGATATGTGATTAGAGTACAAATAATTTTGATGACTGCGGTTTTAAATTATTCTGTCTTAGATTATGTTGGCCACATGAAGCTGGTGAATGATCAGGCTATCACTGATCATACTGTTCTTGACGAAACTGCCATAGCAAAGAATCGGCATTTATGTGTTCATGTTCAGACACATGAGTAAGTTTGTCCAACTGTTACACCCTTTGCTTGTGTGTTATCTTTAATGCATTATTCTAAATCTTATGCAGCAAACCAGTGATCAAGCTCTATCTATGGGACAATACCGCAGCCGAATTCTGCCAGAAATTCAAGACGTATGGAAAAACTCCAAGCATGCTTTTGGTCATGACTGTAAATCCTAAACATCTTGGAGGTTAGTTTTTAATTTTAGAATATGATCGTTATATGATTAACACATATGTGGGGTTATTTAAATAAATATATGTGCTTATATTTAGGATTAATCTGTGGTAATATTGATGAGACATTGATACTCTGCTCTTAGTTGTGTTAATTGATATTCTTCCGTATAAACCATTTTCTTTATGTTAGGTGGGACAATTCTATTTTAAATATTTTACTTTCTGTATACTTGGTTTCACTAATTCAATTATCTGTTATGAACAGGGACCCTTCCTCTCACATCTATTGCATCATCCATAGTGTTCATGGATACCGATGTCCAGCCTACTAACTATCTTGGATGGTGGTTATTTGTGTCCTCAGATATATTTTATATGCACTTAGCTAACTTCAGATATATTTTATATTCACTTAGCTAACTTCCGTTCTAACATACTATTTTATTTTCTCAGGTTGGATTCCAACTCAGATATTTCTAATAGGGTCAATGCAGAAATTGTCACGAAGCCTGAGCCAGTGACTTTAGAGGAGCTATTTTTCTACATTAAGCTGGAAACATATAAGGTACGAGGGCTGTTCTGTTTCCTCAATCCTTGTTGTATACTTGTGTATTTACGAATTTTACTTAATTTTTCCAATTGAAGGTTGCTTGGTTTGAATGCACAGCGACTATATATGATGTTGTCCAGGGTTCTCCTTGGTACTAGATATCTTGTTGTGGTTGTAATAGTAAACCCATCAAAGGGCCTACTTCTCTGATTTGTAACAATAAGAAGTGTGAAAGAAGCAAAGTAACAGGTGTTCCTCGGTAAGTGTTGTGTATACAATTTCACCTATTTATTCCCATCCTAATATTTATTCTTCTCCCGTTGCAGATATCTCACAAATATTTCCGTTTACGATAAGAGTGAACAAGCCGTTTTTGTCATTCTTGGTGAAGCTGGCAAAGAGTTGACTCAGAAGCATGCATCGGAATTGGTTGCCAACTACTTTGAGGTAATTCCTAATCTGTCTTCATAACCTCATATTTTTAAACTTATATTTATCTTCTTAAATACTAGGCTAATGAGGACGTACAGCTGACCATTGCGTGCCTGTGCCGCAAGACCTACTTGATGCAATAGGGCAGACCCATAGATTCATCGTCAAGGTCACGGAGCATAATCTGTCAGGGAAGATCCAAACCATTACTGTCACAAAGATACTCCCTCCTCAGACTTCCAATGATGCTTTGAATACTGGAGGTGATGATTCTGGGCCTTCAGGAGGTGTTGGGGATTCTGTTGGTGAAAGGATTAGGAAAGAATCTGAGTGTCTTGGATTAGAGGAGTCTAAGCGTGCCAAGAGTGGCTAATGTAGCCTCAACCTATCTTCATATGCAGTGATATTTTTTTTGCTGCATTTTAAGTGCTGTTTTCTTCTTTACTTAATGACTTTGCCATCTTTTATTTCAATCTTCCGACTTTTGTCAATTGGAGACATTTTATGTTTCTTTGAATACACTTTTTCTTTGGTTTTACCTTTTGTCTTATAGTATTTTAGTTATCTATTATGGTTTCATTCATCTATAGTAGGTTTATTAGCGTCTTGAGTAGCATAGTTTCATTCAAAGGTTTGGGATCCATCTCTTCCAAGCAGCAGAAGCAGCCAGGTTCTGGTGATGATGATGCTATGGTTGAGGATTTTCTCAAGCAATTCGAGAGAATTGCTGGATCTCAGGTAAAAAGAAAATACCCTAAAAGTCACAACCTGAAAGTATAGTCTCTTGGTTTTGTAGAACCAATGTGTGGTAGAGATTCTGCTTTGTATCTTTCATTGTTGACTCTTATCCTCTTACTTTCTTTTGCATAGGACTTGGAATCAATATTGGAAACTATGATGCAACAGCTACTATGGAAGGATATTCTCCACAAGCCAATGAAGGAGATTGGTGCGAGACAGGCCCGGGCTTGACCCAACACCTAAGATACATTGATATGGAGCCCATAATTTTTTACAGTTTTGAAAACCTACTTTTTTGTTGTTAGTAAAAAAAAATATATAAAATGGATCATAAAGCATATTATAAAATAAACTTTCAAATTTTGTTTCTTAATTACATAAAAACAAGGAGAAAATAATTTTTACAATTGATAGACATGTATGACTTTTGAATAAATTGTACTTTTAATAGTTAAATATATTTTTATATTTCTTGTTAATAATTTAGGCCTATATATTTTTTTCGTATTAGACCCGAAATATCTCAGGATCGGTACTGGTGCGAGATATCCAAAATGGCAAGAGGAGAATGAAGGCAGTATGATTATAATGCCAAAAAGATAATACATTTGAAAATAGACAATCATTTCTCTATATTTTGCTTTGCAAACGTGGATTGGTTTTTAAAAGTTTATCTATTGATTTGGTTCACAATCTAAATTATTTGCTTCATGTTTCCCTTCAAATTTTCATAAGTTGGTGTCAACGTTATTTTAAAACATTTACATATCCTTAAGTAGTTCAAATGGAAAGAATGAAAGGAGTCGTTGGAAAAATGTTATTTGGGAAGAGATTTTCTAATGAATGACGTGATTTCCGCAAACGTTTACGAGATCTCCTAAATATTAATGGGGATTACGAATATACCATAAATAGATTGTAAGTATTTGCTGCAATAAAAACTGTTCCATCTCTTCTAAAATCCGATTTTCCTCTTTACAAAGAATCAAGCACGTGAAAGGAAAAGGACAACAAGTCGAGTAGGAGGAGAGGGTTCGCATCCATCCATATCATATCACAAACACGTTCAGACGATCATTGGTCGGTGTAAGTGCAGTGTTTTATTATAATTCAGTTTCATTGTTCTTTTCCCCCTCTTTAGTATGGTGTATATAAATATATCATTTTAGTTTATAATATTTTCCTAAGGATTACTATTTGAATGGAATTAAAAAGCCAGCTCCAAGTGAATCCATGGATACTAGAGGTAAACACATCTTAATCTAAATGTTTGTGTGTATCTAATAGTCAATTTTTTTTTTTTTTAAAAAAAAAAAAGTAGTGTAACAATAGACTTCAATTTATAGTGACTAAGATTATAATTCTATATTTTAAGACAAAAATGGGATTTTATTTATATCTATATATATAGTGGACAATTCTCTTAAATTTTATAATAGGACATATACTTTCAAGATAACAATATAAAACTACCATTTATATATATAGTCCCAATAAAAATATAAATTAAAAATTTGTAAAATTTAGATTATGTATCTACAATAAGTTAATAATATTTTTAAAACTCCCATGAAAATGTTTAGTCCCAATACAATCATAATCTAATAATTAATAATAGTTAATAGTATTTAGTAAAATTATTTTAAAAACAACATAACAGTTTTATGGAAAAATATGCACCAAATAAGATAATTAAGCAATGTAAAATAAATTGATAAGATATATTAACATTTTTATAAGTCCCATGTAAATGTATACTCACAATAAAATCATAAAATAATAATTTATAGTATTTGATAATATTTAGAAAAGTTATATCAAAAACAACATAACAGTTTTATGAAAATATACACCAAATAAGAAAATCAAACAGCGGAAAATAAATTCAAATATTTTAGGTTTATAATATTATTTAAAGTAATTTATTTTTATTGTATAAAATATATATCCAATAATAAAAACATGACGAACAAGCACAAGCATATTTACAAGATAACAATTTAATACGTAAGAATTAACTTTGTCTATATATATAATATTATTAAAACTTAAATTCCTCCTAGTATATAATAAATTATATATAAATTATTAAAAAATGACAAATATGAAAAATTACCTAAAATCATAGAGAATTTGATAACTAAACAGATTTACTTATCAAATAATAGTATAGATATATGAGTTATTAATTTATTCACTGAAGATTTTCATAAATATATTATCTTATTACCTATTATTTTAAATTTAACTTATATATATAAAAATATTCTATTTCCAAATAAACATAGTCTACAAAGAGATCTTCAACCGGTTTCCTTCCCATGAGAATAAGTAAAATTTTATACTTAGACTCTAATCAAAGATGTTTTTAATGGTAATTTATCTAAAAGCTCACATTTTTTTGGTTATTTAGTGTTCTAGCTAATAACACAGAAAGTCAAAGCTAAAATGCTAACGTGATGATGGAAATCTCCCTACTTCCTCTACATATATTATGAATTAGATACACTGATTTTTATTACTAATAAATGATCACTAACTTATTCTAATTAATTTTCAGGCCCTAACTCAAAAGATTCCCATCCCATCTACATCCTCTTAGTCAAAAAGACCACCTTCTTCTCCATGATTCGCACTTTCATGTTTTATTGAACTCTTTAATATGTTCTTAATAATAATGATAACCGTCCTCTGCTTCTAAACATTATTTCTATGAAGCTTTTATTTTATAACTGATCTATTATTTAAAAAAATTTATTTTATAATAATAAACCTGTAGCCAACAACCATTACTTTCTAACAACCTTTTTTCAATAAACACTGATTTAATTAAATATTCAACCCATTATTCTGACTTCGATTAGTTGTATTATGGTTTAGTTAGCCGCTGATGCATATACTTACCATGTCGAGATGTCAAATATTATTTATGCAACACCATTTACATACAAAAACATAATGACAAAGCAAATTAGTTTTTTTCCAAAAGAAAAAACCAGGGCGTAACCCATAAAAAATATCTAATACAATATTAAAAAGAGAATATAAGTCAAGGGGAAGTGTCCACCTCCTCAAAAATAATCCACTAATGAGGAGCCATCTTCTCGTTAATGCAGCACACAAAATTGGGTAATCTTAGGCTCCCTTTATTTTCTATATTTGTTTTGGTTAAAGCATTAGGCCCGTTAATCCCAACATAGAGTACACCCAAATCACTACACGTCTGTTCTCTCTTGAAACCCTTCTATTTTTGTTCTTTTTTTCTTCGGCGATTGATTTTTTCAACCAAAGTCGATGAATCGACACAACTCCATCACTCCATCTATGTACAATGAATATATCATTTAATGATTCCTTTCGCTTTCCTTCCTCTGAATCTCTTTATATCATCTTTTTTCTCAAAATCATCTTAGCTCTCACAATCGAAAATCAAGATGAAATTCAACAGCAAATCCACAGTTTCCGGCGATTTTACCTCGAATAAGTAGAAAGGAAACGCAGGTGTCTCCTCTGCCGAGCCGATCATACCTCCTGGCCAAACCAGTGTCTCTTCCATGAAAGCTCTCACCGGCGATCCTAAGTCGAAGAAACCAAACTGCAAGGTCGTTCCATCTGCCTCCCAAAAGATAGCCGGTATCATCGGTACTTTCTTTTCTCAATCAAATCTTATTTATGGAACTTTTCTGTTCTACTCAGTGGATCCATGAACGAGCTTCGTGAGTTTTGATTGAATCAGGTGAAATAAGTAGTGTGAAACTCCCGATCTAATGTATACTCAGAGAGCTTTGACTTCTTCTGCTTATTTAGATGATCGGAACTGTAATCCTTTTCTATCTTCCATGTTTCTTGGACTATGAACTTGGATTGGAACCTGTTTTTGGTGTTAGATCTTTGGAAGATTCTTTTGTGGTGTTTTAGGTTATAGTCCAGCTGAAACTGTAAGGTTATGTACCAGATTTAATATCTTAAACCTTTGTTCTTTAGCTAGATTTGTTGAGCTAACTGTTTAGATCGATTAACCTCAATCCTAACTTGTGTGTTTGTTTTGCAGGAATAAAGTTTGTTGACCCAGTTCCCTTTACCGGTACGTCTGGGGGAAGCACTCTGCTTCCAATCCACTATCTCAAGGTAAAAGAATTTAATACAAGAGATAATAGACTACTTAAGCTTCTACAATCACCAAAGCCTGAGCTCGAACTAATGAACCAAGTTCTTGTTATACTTCAGATCGCCTTCAACTTCAGGTAGAACCTCTATAACCTCTTGACCGTGATTATAGCTTAACAACCTGATCTCCACAATCTGATATCTGTTTTTTTCCTGTACTCTGCAAGTCAACATAACTCCTCCTTTTATATGCAGGTACTCTGAGTTTACCCTAGGCTGTCATGGGCTTGTCTTTTCCGTGGCCCATCACTGCAAGCTACCATTAGCTTTGGGCCTGAAAGCTGACCCAAACTGGAACGACATAGACAATACACTGACAAACTCCACCTTTGTCTCTGTCGGAGTGTTCGAGAAACAACTCAACAATCTCCTCTCTCTGAGTCGCCTCTCTCTTTCCCATTTGATCGAGAACCCCTTTCACCGGTGAAATTTCTCCGATCAAACTCTGGTGACTCTCTGAGCTCA